TTTTTTTTTTTTTTTTTTTTTTTTTATATATGTTACCGCATAACTTTGGACCATGTCAACCGATTGCGATAATTCTTTTTTCAGCGGAAAGGTAGTATCTCATGATCCACTGATCGGATGATTAGTATGGGACCACCTCTGAGACACTACCTTTCCGTTGCAAAAAGAATTATTCAAATCGGTTGACGTGGTCCAAAGTTATGCGGTAACATACATAAAAAAAAATAAAAAATAAAAATATTCGGACGAACTGATAACCTCCTCCTTTTTTGGAAGTCGGTTAAAAATAAATGCGTTTTTTTAGCCGCTCAAAACTTGCACTTATTTCACTAAAATTTTACAAGCCTGTTAAGTGCATACCCAAAAAATTTATAAAAATTTTGGTTAAAAAGCTCGAAATTTAGATAAAAATTTTGTTGAATTTTTCTAGATTCTGTATAAAGTCTGAAAGTGTGGTTTATATGGTTTTCGTTAAAATAAAATTAAATAAATATCAAACAAATCTTAGCTTGAAAAAACATTGTAAAAATTAGCAAGTAATTTTTAGGCAAATAACAGAACCGACTTCAATTCTCATATAAAAATTTAAGATTATCATTAATTTTTTCATGATCCAATTATCGGATTTCAGCAAAATTAGTATGGGACCCTCTGTGAGGTAACACCTTTCCTTTAAAAGTTATATGGTAACATACATAAAAAAAAAAAAAAATATTCCGACGAATTGATAACCTTCTCGCTTTTGTGAAGTCGAAAGCGAAAAGCGAAACACCATTCATCCATTTTTTACCGCCACTGTATGTACAGTTATAAAATTTTGTATCGTTAAATTAACACATTATCGATCAAATCATCGACTAATATCAGATATTGTTATTGTTTATTTTGTCGATATATTAGCATTTTCTTGTCAAAATTATGGATTTAGTTACTAATATATTTTTCCATGTTGCTATAGTTTAACTTATCGATATATTTTTCGTTATGATTGTACGTGAACAAAGTTATCGATTTAGTTTCCGATATAGTTTTGAATGTTGCTATTTTCTTACCTATCGATATCGATGTAATATTGATTTAGTTATCGATTTTTTGATCACTAAAAAAAGGTAGGGACGTATACAGGCAGGGATAGTTAAATTACTATAAATTGCACGTTATGAGTACCCTTCTATGTAAACATATGTACATATCTATTAGGGTGCAGTACTCTCCATAGAAATGCATTCGTAATAAATAAGTAAAACAGAAACATACGAATACACGTCAGGAACATAATGGCACTCTGTATAAAGCTAATCAATTGCCAAAACCACTTTCAAATGCAATGATGTTGAAAATTTTACAACTGGCAAGTAATTTGTCAGCACAGCAAATAGTTTTTTAACTAAGCGAAAACAAAGAAAATATTATTTCATAACTACCTTTTATTTGTTTTTATTTTTATTTTATTTTTTTGGTTTATGTACATTTATGACAAACTAACATTTTAATTTGCTGCTTGTAAGTTAGTTAATATGTATCTGAGTGTCTGTGTGCGTCTATGTTCATTTACAGCGGCTGCCGATGACAAAGTAAAAAAGTAATTTGAAGGTAACAACAGGCCAAAACCGATGGAGTTACCAATTTGTGTGTGTGTGTGTGTGTGTGTTGTGTTGGCAAAACTACGAACTCTTGTTATTGGAGTTGTTTGTCGTTGTCGTAGTTATTGTTATTGTCATTTCCATTGCAATGTAGTTTTTCGGTGAATTTCATTTGTCATCACATGACACCAGTGCCGCTGACAGGACATGTAGCGTAAAGGCACAGATGGGTATGTTTGTATGTGTAGTTAGCGCGCATGCAAATGCCGGCCAGCACACAAATAAATGAATGTGTATGCACACACACACACACACACACACACACATATGTACACTTACCTTGCAAAATGAAGCGTCGGTCACCTGGGAGCAATTTTG